TAGACACTGGCGCCTCTCGTCATGTCTGCTACGATCGTGCTATGTTCAAAACATACATGAATGCTGAAGATAAGAAAGTGTTGTTGGGAGATGCTCACACCACTAAGGTTGCTGGAATTGGGGATGTTGAGCTGAAATTCACCTCAGGAAAGACTTTGATCTTGAAGGACGTCATGCACGTTCCTGAAATTAGGAAGAATCTTGTTTCTGGTTTTCTTTTAAATAAGGCAGGGTTTAGTCAAACTTTAGGGGCAGATTTGTACACCATCACTAAGAATGGTATTTTTGTTGGGAAAGGGTACGCCACTGATGGCATGTTTAAGTTGAATGTTGATTTTAATAAGATTTCTCCTTCTGTTTACTCTTTGTGTGATTTTAATATTTGGCATACTAGACTTTGTCACGTTAATAAGCGAATTATGCATAATGCAAGCAACTTGGGCCTAATCCCTAAATTAAGTATTAATGATACAAATAAATGTGAATATTGTAGTCAAGCAAAAATAATCAAGACTTCGCATAAATCAATTAATAAGGAATCTGATCCCCTAGATCTTATACATTCTGATATATGCGAATTAGATGGAAGTTTAACTAGAAACAATAAACGTTATTTTATCACTTTTATTGATGATTATTCAGATTATACTTATGTATACTTAATGAAGAATAAAAGTGAAGCGCTTGAAATGTTTAAGATATATGTAACTGAAATTGAGAATCAACTTAGTAAGAAGATTAAGAGACTTCGTAGTGATAGGGGGACTGAATATGATTCTGGTTTATTTAATGATTTTTATAAAGAACATGGAATTGTACATGAAACGACTGCTCCATATTCTCCTGAAATGAATGGTAAAGCAGAAAGAAAGAATAGGACTCTTACCGAACTTGTTGTTGCAATTATGATAAATTCTGGTGCTGCTCCTCACTGGTGGGGGGAAATTTTATTGACTGTTTGCTACGTCCTGAATAGAATCCCCAAGTCAAAAAGTAAGATCTCACCATATGAGATATTAAAGAAAAGACAACCAAACTTGTCTTATTTGAGAACTTGGGGCTGCCTGGCTTATGTCAGAATTCCGGATCCGAAACGAGTTAAACTCGCTAGTAGAGCATATGAATGTGTATTCATTGGGTATGCAGCAAACAGTAAGGCGTATAGGTTCTATGACCTAAATGCAAAAGTAATCATAGAATCAAATGATGTTGAATTCTATGAAGACAAATTTCCTTTCAAACTGAGAAATAGTGGGGGCACCCAATCGAGTCACATTCCTGTGATAAGAAGTACAGAAAACAACAACGAAGTAGAAACAAAACTTCGGAGAAGTAAAAGAGTAAGAGTCGCTAAAGACTATGGGCCTGATTATGCGGCTTATAATATAGAAGAAGATCCAATAAATCTTCAAGCAGCATTGTCATCTCTAGATGCAGATTTATGGCAAGAAGCTATAAATGATGAGATAGAATCCCTAGATTCTAACAAGACATGGCACTTAGTAGACTTGCCTCCTGGTTGCAAACCGATCGGTTGTAAATGGGTTCTGAAAAAGAAACTAAAACCTGATGGAACTATTGATAAATACAAGGCTCGCCTTGTAGCCAAGGGTTTTAGACAAAGAGAAAATATAGATTTCTTCGACACTTTCTCTCCAGTCACTAGAATCACATCCATTAGGGTACTTATTTCAATTGCTGCTATTTATAACTTAATAGTACACCAAATGGATGTTAAAACAGCCTTTTTAAATGGTGACTTAGAGGAAGAAATCTATATGGAACAACCAGAAGGGTTTGTGATCCATGGACAAGAAAACAAGGTTTGTAAGTTAGACAAGTCTCTATATGGACTAAAACAAGCCCCTAAGCAATGGCATGAAAAATTTGATAACTTAATGATATCAAATGGATATAAAGTGAATGAAAGTGACAAATGCGTTTATTACAAATCTGAGAATCGCATTTGCACTATCATATGTCTTTATGTAGACGATCTACTTATATTTGGATCAAACATTTAGACTATTAATGATGTGAAATCTTTGTTGTGCAACAACTTTGATATGAAAGACCTGGGAGAAGCAAATTTAATCCTCGGTATCAAGATCACGAGATCCAAACAAGGAATTTCTTTGGATCAATCACACTATGTGGAAAAGATCTTAAAGAAGTATAATTACTTTGATTGTAAACCTGCTAGCACTCCATACGATCCAAGCATGAAACTGTTTAAGAACACTGGTGAAAGTGTTAAACAGACAGAATATGCAAGTATCATTGGAAGTCTTAGATATGCTACTGACTGTACTAGACCTGACATTGCATATGTCGTGGGATTATTGTGCAGGTTTACTAGTAGACCAAGTAATGAACATTGGCAAGCTGTTCAGCGAGTCATGAGATATCTTAAAAAGACTGTGAACCTCGGTTTACATTATCAGAGATTTCCTGCTGTACTTGAAGGATACAGTGATGCTGATTGGAATACTTTGTCAGATGATTCCAAAGCTACTAGTGGCTATATATTTAGTATAGCCAGAGGAGCTGTATCTTGGAAATCAAAGAAACAGACCATTCTGGCTCAGTCCACAATGGAGTCTGAAATGATAGCACTAGCCACAGCTAGTGAAGAAGCAAGTTGGTTAAGATGCTTGCTAGCTGAGATTCCCGTATGGGAAAAACCTATGCCAGCTGTGTTGATCCACTGCGATAGTACCGCGGCTATTGCAAAAATTGAGAACCGTTATTATAATGGTAAAAGACGTCAAATAAGAAGAAAGCACAGCACCATTAGAGACTGTATCTCTAAAGGAGCTGTAAGAGTGGATCATGTACGCACTGATGAAAACTTAGCAGATCCTTTGACGAAAGGATTAGCTAGAGAGAAAGTCTATAACACATCATATAAGATGGGACTAATGCCTATATGAATATGAGTTGCTCACAATGGTAACCCGACCTAAATGACTGGAGATCCCAAGAAATAGGTTCAATGGGTAATAACAAGTTGTGAGTGATATGAGATGATCATGCAAGAGAAGCATGATTCCTGAAGTAATAAGAGGTTGAGATAATAGAAACTCTTAATGAGATCTATACTCTGTATGAGGGAGTACCTAGACTACAGGAGTACTCTTGATAGACTCACCTTGGTGATTGTGGAACTTGGGTCGGTTCCTATGGAATTGCGAAGCAAAATTTCTAGAGCCTTCACTAAACCGGGATACACGTGCAGGGCCATTAAAGCACGGGCTATTAGAATACACCTTAAAGAAAAGGTTGTGTGCGGGTCTGATGTCTGAGATAGAGTTCAAGACAATTGTGTCACTCTTGTTGAATCAGAATCCTACTTGCTACGCAAAGGTTCAAGTCATAGACACCTTTGCTTATGCACAATCTTAGAAACGTCTGACGTTACCTCTAAAATCACCTTTTAAATTCAAGTGGGGGATTGTTGGAAATCTTGGAATGATGATAACTTGGATTGGGAATTGGAATGATTCATTGACATTAAATAGGCAATAAATGAGCACATGAATGAACTAGTTTGTGAGTGAATTTGAAAGGATTCATTTTAGTCCCACATTGGAGGGAACACAACTTCTAGTAGTGCATAAATACTCCAACTTGGACACTTGGGTTGGGCCCCAAGGGGCACCCCAATTTTGTTAAGGAGTGAGGACACACCACTAAGTCATCTAGACACACACGCGCGTGCGCCGCCGCCGCCGTCCGTCCGGCTCGGTTCGGTTCGGTTCGGTCTAGATGAATTAACTTTTTGAACCGGATTTTGGTGAAAAATTAATTATTAATATTAATTAATTACGGAATTAGTGACGTGTCAATAACTCTAGAATTCAATATCTTGAATTCGCTCTTCTCTCTCTCGACTCTGCTTAATCTCAAGTTTTTTTTTCTTTTCTGTTTTTTCGACTGCTTCTTGCCAGATACTACGAGTGGTTTCTACACCATCAGAAGGTGTTATTCATCGAACAATTTATCACAGTGCAAGTGATAATCGTATTTTATTCGAACGGGCTGTTTTATCCTGGAGACGTCGCCTATTATCGACTGCCTTGCACTTTGTTGGCATCCGGCGAAACGTCTTAAAGAAAGCGTACTGAACCGCGACTCGACCCGATAAAATTCTCAGTGGCTATTCTTGTTTTCACTAATCCGTGATCAACAACAACAAACTTCCAAAACAAAGCACAACCACTAAGATCAAACCAAAAACGTTCTTCTTCCATTTTTGCTGAACAACCTTCTTCATATTCTACCACAACCCTCTCACCTTAAACTTCTCCTTCACATGATGATCATTGTAAAGGAGTTTAGCTAAACTCTTTTACAATTATAGAGTCGAAAAATTCGGTATTTTCTTGAAATTTTCGTTAGTGTAAAATTTTTTTTATAAGGACATAAGAGTAATAATACCATCATTGGAGGGTACCAAGTATAACAGTGGCAGTGTCAAGTTAAATGCTCTGAAAAAGCACTCGGCAAATGCTCATTCTTGCTTAATATTCCTTACAAGAACCCATTAGATCACATTTACCTCAAAAGCTTTTGAATGCACCAACTCTATATATCAAATCAAGAAGGTAAATAACACAGAGACACAAAGACTTTGCTTCACAATACAAATTAAATCAAAACATATCAGAAAATAAACCTGATGTTAAGTTGTTAGTTTGCAATAGTAGATCATTGTGCATTGCAATGAAATTAGAAAACTAACTTTACAATGTTATTTTTGACAAACTCAAAGGACGACTTAGATCATTCATCGCGCGCCTAAATTTAAAATAACAAATCAAAATCGATTTTCAACATTTTGATGTTCTTGGATTTATTTTGTCATTGAAGACGACGAAGAACATCAAATGAAAAATGGAGGATTCTGTAGCTTTACTAAATTGTCACTTTGTTGGTTTTGTAACCATCTTCTGAACTGCTTCAAATGCCGCAAATACTGCTTTGTCGAAGCCTAACCTTTACAGCTCATTTAAGAAACCATTAGCATCAGTTTCACTGATTTTGTAAGGACTATGTTTAGCATCAGCAAATGAACCATTCGTCACATCTTCCTTATACTCGAGTAAGGCTTTATTGATGACGTCTCCGAAACGAGCGTAATGTTTAGAAAACTTTGGAGTAACCTGCAAAAATGGGGTCATCTCAACTTCAGCATTGAATCATTAATATCCTATAAAATTTGAAAGAAAAACAAGATTAACATTTGTTGTAAATGTAAATAGTAAATACCTTTGCATGGTGAGGGTGTTGTAACATACCAAGAAGATCATGGTAAACAAGCACCTGCATGATGATTAATAAAATTAAATTAGAAATATCCACGACGCTATAGCGCTTCAATAGCAGCTCCCATTTAAAACCAGAAACTTTGTATGGTTAACCCAACACAGAGGTTATTCCTTATTAGCACTCAACAGAATTCGAACATGAAAATAATTTTAAGTGAGACTAGGCCAACTGACCTGTCCACTGCAATAGGGTCCAGCCCCAATTCCAATTGTCGGAATTTGAAGCGCTGCTGTTGTTGCGGCAGCCACCGGAGCAGGAACACATTCTAGAACAACAGCAAAACACCCTGCTTCTTGCAAAGCCAATGTCGTTCAACAACCTACACAGATTCATTCCTTTTAGGAAAACAATAGAAATATCGATCTTGACCGCACTTGCAGCATTTCTTCCCTGAGGCCTAAATCCACCTAAAACACTAATGGGCTGTGGCGTAAGACCAACATGGCCAATCACAGCTATTCCAGCTTCAACACTTAAAAACCACTTCATATAGTTAGAAAGTTATAAGGACCATGTTGGCCAATGCTCATGAGTTTAAAAGGCACATGTTGATATGGTGCAGTCTAGAAAACGTATATTTTATCATGAAAAAGACAGGAATGAAGCGATATACATCAAATTGAAATTGATATCTTGATACAAAATACTCACAGCCATGTATGTAGCCTTGGAGAGTGCTTCATTTGGTTAAATGCCTCGTACACTTTCTGGCGATCCCATTGGTTTGTGAGGTTCATTATTCCAAGGTCATAAAACCTTTCTTTTCTGAACAAATAATAGCCCTTCATTAAGCAGAAAATTATTTATAAGAGATAGACAACAGAAAAAAGAAAAGTGGTAATGCAAAACAGATAGAGAAAACACGTACAATTGTTTGTCTCTAGCTTTGTAATTTGGTGTCTTAAAATCTCCATCATCTTAGAATCTACCGTCTGAATAAAAATATCTTGTTAGAAATAACAATCAATCCCATAACGAATCTAAGGAGAAAAGAAAGCAACGACGAACATGATGGAAGAAAATCATTATGATTATCGTGTCGAGCTTGATAGTGCTCATTTATAATAGAAAAAAGCAGCAACAAGAAGAAGCAAATAAGATTTAAAATGGTTGACATCTTAGGCAGTAATGATGGAGTTGCCCAATATTTTCTAAGTGACATTAAATGTGGGTAAAGTGGGAGATATATTTGACACTAGTTGAATAATATCAAAAATATATTGTATGTATGAAACTGATTTGACAGAACAACACAAATATCATTATGTCAAACAATTACCACACATACAAGGTCCATAATTCCTATATAAATGTAATCTTTATTGCTCCAATAGATCCATGAGTAATTTTTTAATTCCTCTAGATTGATCCATGAGTAATTATTCATTTCAAGAAAACTAAATCTATGAAACACGGATACACAAAAACAAACAGCTTAACCGAAAACAAGGTTTTTCTTTAAACTTGTGAAATTACAACATTGGTTGGTGCTTCCATGACAGTTAAAATTGCAATAGACAAGGTTTTAAAAGCAGCATCATATTAGCATAAAGTAGTATAAGAACTCACATTGTTAGCCTTCTTGAGCAACCCATTTATGATATCCTCTTTGAGAATGTGGCTTGTCTGTCGTTGGAATTCTCAATTATTAATTTCAGTTTCATTTCAATTTGAACCCAAATGGAGCCAAAACTGTATTAAGAAGAAAAATGTGAAATTAAATATATTTATTGAAGACATTTATAACAAGAAACATTGAAACAAATATTTTGGTGACTCACCTTGGATGATTTGGTAGTCTATATATATTTTGGGAATGTGAGAAATCTTACTCCACTCTATCCCTTGCTTCCTCTGCAAGTTTTCTTTCAATAACGGACACCGTCTGATATGCAATTCTTTAAGAGAGGAAGGCAACTCCCCCTTTTCTGGCAACGACTTTAGCTTGGGTGCATACTCAATATGAAGCGTATGGAGAGAGGTGAGATGTTGAAGCCACTTCCCCAGGCATTCTATATCTTCAAGAAAAGAGATATATAAGGAATCAAGATTAGTGGGTTGAAATAGAACTTCCATATTCATCAGCGCCTTCCCAATATCATCATCACCCCGAATATCCAGCTTTGAAAGAGAAGTGAGATGTTCCCAAGTTGTATTCCCCAAAATCCCTCCAACATCTGTAACCTCCAATTCCTGTAAGCTGATAGGCAAATCATCTATGGAAAACGATTGCAGATTTGGAAGGTGGCCAATCTCCATGAATTGCAGGCTAGTTAGAGTCTTTATTGATTCAGGTAGAGAACGTAACTTGTTACAATTCCACACAGTTAGACGACTGAGGTTAGGAATTGGCAATCCGCTTAGGGAAACCGACTCCAGTTCATAGCAACTATGTACTTGGATGGTTTTAAGAAACAAGAGATTCTCTTTCGATGCTTCTTCTGCAATTAATATGGATTTTAAATGATAACAACCAACAATATCTAGTTTTTTTAGGACAGGGAAAGAGCACAAGGTAAACGAATTCATTGGATCACAACTATAGCTTATTTCCAAATTCTCCAGTGATGTGTATTTGTGAAAAGATTCATGAGAAAGGAACTCCAAATTCCCACATCTAAGAATCATGATAGATTGTAAGGTTTTGGGAAGACCGTCTCTCGGAAAGGATGTTAGAGATGGAATGTTGTCTAAGGTTATCTTTTGAAGAGAATTTAGACTAATCATCAAAGGATCGCCCAACCAATTTGGTAATTTGTCACCACTGTATCCGGAGATGATCAGACGCTTCAAACTTCTTGGCGGACGTAGCTGTTCCAATACAACACTTTGTGTTTCTGAGTTTGAAGGAGCGGTATCAGACCATTTTAGTCTCAACTTGTCAATTTCTTTCTTCATCTCCAAATTTGCTTCACAAGCATGGGATGGGTCAATTACATTTTCAAGTTTTGAGATGGAAAGACTTCCCCGAAGATGGGGATATTTTCCAAGATCTTCAATCTTCAATCCAACTTCGTTAATGCCGCTAACAATAAAGTCCGACAATATCTGCAGATTTTCTAATTTGGAAATTTGTACAGGCATTTCCTTCAACTTAGTGCCTCTGATGTCAAGGTGGCGTAGTTTCTCCAATTTCCCCATGTCCTTTGGCAATTCAGTGAGTTCGTAGCACCATGACAACAATAAAGTCTGCAAATTGTAAAGCTTGCATGTTTTTGAAGGCAACCTTTTAATCCTAGTGTTAGAGAGATTCAAGTATCGCAGATATATCAAATTTTCAATAGAGTTGGGCAATTCAGTGATATCTTGGTAGTTTGAAAATGACAACACGTGTAATTGTGTCATTGTTGAAAATAGGTCAGAAAGTAACTTGGACGATACAAAATCAGCATACCTATATGATTCTTGCAATGGGAGAGATACAAAGGTTTGTAAACCTTTTAATCCATGGAATTTTTCAAATTTATCGTATGAATCATATTCTTCACTGTCGAAAGACAAGTGTCTCGCGCTTTTATCTACACTTTCATCTGGCTTATATTTGTCTAGCCTAGTGCAATATGGAGATGAGACTGCCATAGCTAAATCATTAATCAGGTCGTGCATTTCATAGTAAACTTCCTCATCACCAAAGAAATCTTTTGACTCATCATCAATGAACTGTTCACGTATCAAAGACCTCGACACTAGCTCATCTAAGTATTCTTCAGCTACTTTTTCCCAACTTTTCTCACTTTTCGGCTGAGCTATTAAGCCTTCTGCAATCCACAACTGAACCATCGTCTCTTTCCCTAAGATTGAGTTCTTTGGAAAAATTGAACAAAAGGCAAAGCATCCTTTTAGATAAGCTGGAAGGTAACGATAGCTCAATAGTAGAGATGGTTGCACATCACCACTTGTCCGTTCCCAAATACTACTGTTTAACACATCACTCCAATGATCAAGTGACAATTTTTGGCGAAGAATACCCCCAAGTGCTACTACAGCTAATGGTAAACCACAACATTTTTTGGCAATTTCTATACCAACTTTTTCTAGATTGGGGTATTGTTCGCAGTTTTTTTCTACAAATGCATGTGTGGCTAGTAAAGACCAGGATTCTTCACTTCCCAAATATCTTAAATGGTGGACATCAAGAGATTTTAGCCTGGGTAGTAAAACTCTTTCATCTCGAGTTGTGATGATGATCTTACTTCCTGTTTGCCCAACATTAAAGATATCACTTAGACTATTCCAATCAACATAGTTTCCATGCGACATATCATCCAATACTAACAAAAACTTTTTGTTACTTAAACTTTGCTCCAATTGCAGTTGGAGTTTAACAAAGTTAGTCTCTGTGATTGTTTCTGAAGTGACAGACTCAAGAATAGTTTTAGTGACAGTGACAAGATCAAACTTTTTTGGAATGTGTGACCACCCTCTCACCTTAAACTTGTCCTTCACATGATCATCATTGTAAAGGAGTTTAGCTAGTGTTGTTTTTCCTAACCCACCCATGCCTACAATGGAAATCACTCCTATTTTTTGTTCACTATCACAACCATCCTCTGACAGCAGAAACTCCTTAAGTTTATTTTTGTCATCGAGCCTACCCTTAATATCTGTTTCTTTTACCAAAAAAGGAGTTGTAGGAGTTACATTCACAACACAGGTGGAAAAATCAGCTACGTTCAGTCCAGGATTTTGGTTTTTCACGTGTTTCAGTTTTGCAGATAACTTTGACAGTTTAGAATTGATCTCTTTATTAAACCTTTTGAAATAAGAAGAAAACTTTTTAAGAACCTGATTAGCTTCCGCACTGCGCCGCAATGCCTCAGTGTTGATTTCATCAAACAAATCTTCAGCTTCAAAGACAGCATCATGCAACTTATTCAGCCACTTCTTCACCCCAGGATTATTGATCTGCTTGTTCTCAGCATCATGAAGTAGAGATTGAAGACTCGCCATAGTTGTATCTATCTCATCCAACAATGCTTCGTCAAGCTGAGTCCTCCGAAATAAATCAGCAAACTCACCAGAAGCAATCTTTTTCAGGAACATATCCATAGAAGCTGAGAGAAGTGCTCCAACAAAAGCCTCCATACCTTAGTTCAAGAGAGTAAGAATAGTTTGAGAAATTGGTGTGGAAAGAAAATGCAACGCAAGGTAGATGAACTTATAAAGTGGTGGTAGATTGATTGATATTCAACACTTTAAGTAATAACAATGATGACATGATTTTCAACTTGTATAATTGCTACAAAAGTTGATTGGGACTAGCCTTTTGTTTGTGTCCATTACTTTCTATGGTCAATAATAGTGTGCGGGGAAAATATCAGTCCTATCCTATCTTCATCGTTAGGTCTCTATGCCACTAATTATTGTTTACATTTTGCAATGATATGATTAAAAAAACAGAAATGATATCTTGACACCCCCATCATATACCTACTACACCGTATACATCGTGAAATATACTAGTCTTATAAGGGCAATTTAGTCATTTTGAATTTATTGTCATGACATGGTATCAAAAGGATTCGTTCAAACTTACAAACCCTAGTTATCTTGGCTGAACAACGACACCCCACTGGGTCGCCTCGAAATCGTGTTTCTCGATTCAACATTCTTGGCAATTGCAGACTGTGCTTTATAATTCTGTTTTGGTATTCTTGGGCGATTCCATTCTGTAATCGTTGTTCTTGATAATTTTGTTCGGTGTTCGACCAACAGTGGTTTCGATATTTGCGGTTTATTAATTCGTGGTTTTGGTTCGTGATCTCACTGGGTAATAGGGTTATTATATCACGATGACTTCAGAAAATGAGAAAAATAATTTGTGTGTCCGTTTTACCAACAATAATTATTGTGCTTGGGAATTTCAGTTCAAGATGTATGTTAAAGGAAAAGGATTATGGAGTCACCTAGATGATATTTCTAAGGCACCAACTGAGAAAACCGCTTTAGATGTGTGAGAAACTAAAGATGCTCAAATCGTCACTTGCATTCTCAACAGTATTGACCCTCAGATGATCAATAACTTACGCTCTTTTCCAACTGCTCAAGAAATGTGGAATTATCATAAATGCATTTACAACCAAGACAATTCGGCAAAATGTTTTCAGTTGGAGCTAGACATAGCCAACCACAAACAAGGTGATTTGTCTATTCAAGAATACTATTCTGGTTTTTTAAATCTCTAGACAAAATATTCTGCTATTATACATTCTAATGTTCCCAAGACCTCTCTCACGGTTGTTCAAGAAGTTTACAATACAAGTAGGCGAGATCAATTTCTCATGAAACTTCATCCAAAATTTGAGGTTGGCAGAGGTGCTTTGCTAAATAGGAACCCCGTTCCTTTTTTGAACACTTGTATTGGTGAAATTCTTAGGGAGGAATAACATCTTCTTACTCAATGAACCATGACTCATGATGCTCTCAGCTCCGAACCTGTGGCAATTGCATATGCTGCTCAAACTAGAGGTAAAGGTTGTGATATGGGTCATGTTCAATGTTTTTCTTGCAAACAATTTGGACATGTTGCTCGTAGTTGCAATAAGAAGTTTTGTAATTATTGTAAATAACAAGATCATATCATCTCTGACTGTCCCACACGTCATCCATGAACAACACATCATTCATTGAAGGCATTACATGCCAAACAATTGGCTCTTCCACCACTGGTGCATCTGATAGTAGCGCTCTACAGTCTGAAATGACTCAACAAATGGTATTTGTTGTCCTTTCAGCCTTAGGTATTCAGTATAAGTCTTCTCATGTTTCTCGTCCATGGTTTCTTGATTCTGGTGCATCCAATCACATGACAACTTCATCTAAATACTTGCATAATTTACATTCTTATCATGGTAATCAGAAAATTCAAATTGCTGATGATAATTCCTTGTCTATCACTAAATTTAGTAACATAAATTCTGATTTTCAGAATGTGCTTGTCTCACCTGGACTTGCTTCTAATTTATTGTCTGTCAGTCAATTGGTGGACAACAATTATGATGTTAATTTTTCTCGGTCTAGTTGTCTTGTGCAGGAGCAGGTGTCAGGGAAAGTGATCGCGAAAGGGCCTAAAGTGGGAAGATTATTTACAATACAATTTATTTCTAATCATTTGTCTCTTGCGTGTAATAACATTTTGAATTCTTATGAGGATTGGCATAAAAAATTGGGTCATCCAAACTCTGTTGTTTTGTCTTATTTATGTAAAACTGGTTTGTTGGGAAATGAAATTTTTATTTCTAATGCCGTTATTTCATGTTCTGTTTGCAAATTGGTTAAAAGTAAAACACTTCCTTTTCCTTCTGGTGCTCACCGTGCTTCCACTTGTTTTGAGATGATTCATAGTGATGTATGGAGAATGTCTCATGTAGTTTCTCACGCTCATTATAAATATTTTGTCACATTTATTGATGATTGTAGTCGTTTTACTTGGATATATTTTCTCCGTTCTAAATATGAAGTATTTTCTATGTTTAAGAAATATTTGACATATATTGAAACTCAATTTCAAGCAAGTGTTAAAAAATTTCATTATGACTCTGGTGGTGAGTACATGTCTCATGAGTTTCAGGAGTACCTACAATAAAAAAGGCATATTGTCTCAACAATCTTGTCCCAATACCCCTCAACAAAATGGCATGGCAGAATGTAAGAATCGTCATTTTCTTGATGTAACACGCATATTACTTCTCCAAGCTTCTATACCATCCCCATTTTGGGTGAAGACTCTTTCCACAGCGGTCTTCTTGATCAATCGCCTTCCTTCTACAGTTATTGATCTTGATTCTCCTTTCTTTCGTCTTTTTAAAATTCATCCTGATTATAGCGATTTACATACTTTTGGACGTGTTTGTTATGTTCACTTACCTCCACTTGAAAGGCATAAGCTTGAAGTGCAGTCTGTTCAATGTGCGTTTATGGGTATAGTCATTCTCATAAGGGATTTGTGTGTTATGATGTCACTAACCATCGTTTTCGCATTTCTAGGAATGTGACATTTTTTTATAATCAGTTTAGGTTTCCATGTGTTTCTCCTATCATGAATGATATTATTATTATTCCTAAGTTTTCCATTATTCCTTAATCTATAGAATGTTATAAACCGTGATACGGTGGGAGAACTGACTTGAAGTTTTGCGTTTGTTTTCGCAAATGTTTCGGTTGAGCAAGAGTCGCCACCGACTTTTTATTTTATCCTAAGGAAAGGTTTAAAAAGCACAGCAAAAACCTTTGAGATGTTTTCTTGGGTTCGGGGAGTAGGTTATAGAAAGGGAAGGTATTAGCACCCTTTCTATCCATGGTTATCCATGGGCTCTTAGTTACTTGCTTAGATCAACTTGCCTTAATTTTCAATTGTTTGAAATGGTGCTTTGTGTGTGGTTTTTGAAAATATTTTGAAAAGAGGACAATGTGGTGGCAACCTTTGTAATGATCCATGTTGGGATGTATACAAAGATGTATGTCTTTTGAAAAAGTTTTCAATGTTTTTGAAAGTTTGTTTTGAAAGTGTATTGTGATGTGTTGTTTTTGAAAAAAATAGGCAAGTGTTTTGTTTTGCAAATTGGTAAGTAACCAAGAGCTATCTACCCTAATTTTCTCAAAGATTATTGCTATGTTTTAACCCTTTTAACAATTTTGTTCCACCATTGTATTTGGTGGACAATCTTGTGTTAGGATGTGAGAGGGACGGGCGCGGGTCATCGTTTAGACCATAATTGCAATGGTGCCAAGTATCTTTGGGCAATTTTTCCTTTAAGGGACTTGATCATTTTTAGGCAACTTTCGAAAGCGTCATCGAGGGACTATGATCATTTGAATTGTTTGTTTTGCCCAAAGAGACCTAACATGCAATATGGCCCAATTTTGAAAGGCAACAAGTGGATGTAACCCTAGGGGTGTTAGTGTGCAAGTGTGTTTTATTGCATACAAGAGTTTTCTTTGAATTAGGATTTTCTATTTCATTGATTTTATCTTGCCATACACGTCCTAATTACTAGTAATAAGAAGCGGAAATATAAAATCCTACGCTATTACAACAATTAGGGGATGGGGATACACATTTGTACATGGGGGGTTCAACGAGAAAAATAGACAAAAAAGAAAATAGCAAAAAACAAGATATATAGAGAGAGAGAGAGGGAGTCAGCGCGCTGCTGAGAGGTCATCAGAAGTTCTGACTCAGATCCGCTGCCAGATGATCAACCTCTTGGTTAAACTGTATGAGTCAGAACTTTTGACCCTGGCACCTGCAAAACAGAAACCTGTTAGTGGGGAAATCAGAAGTTCTGACCCCCTGCGCTGCAAGACAAAAGTTTGTTAGTGGAGAAACCAGAAGTTCTGATTCTGCTGGAAAGGCAATAACTCAGAGGTTCTGATATTATTGACAGCAAAACAGGCTTCAGATGTGCTAACGTCAAAGTCAACACTTGGCTTTTCCCTGTACTAATCAGAACATCTGCAATTTTGTTGTTATTCCATAAAACAAGAAACATATTTGGAACAGATCCAGCAAATGTAAAAATGTTTCAGAGGGCAGAACCAATAAGGTCACAGGCAGGTCCTACACTGGCTCAGAACATTCTGAGGTATGAAAATTCTCAGAATACAAACAGCAACAACATGATATTTACATTATGTTTATTTGAGCATGCACAGCTGATGATGCTTAGTAGCGTGATGAAGGTCAGCAGGTGCTTACATGGCTGTTGGAAAAGTTTGTGGATGAAAGCTAGCTTTTGGCTCTGGTGGTGTTCTGGACAGATTCTTTTTGAAAAGGGTAGGTGAAGGTGTATGCGTATATAGGGTCAGAAGTTTGAAAAGGGGTTTTTGGTTCACAAAGAAAAACTGGGTATTGGATAAAGTTTGAAGGTGAGAAATTCAAAGTTATGAAACAACTGGAGATTTTGGCAGAGTTTTAGAACACTATCTTGCTAAGGGTTTCTGTTTCTCTCTTAGCAATTTTTCTGTTTCTTGAACGCCTTTTTCAGTGGACAATGACTCTCTATTTATAGGCAAAGTTCTTGCGGGTGCCTTGAACATTAAAGCGCCAACAGAGTTTGAATTGTTCTTTGACAGAAATTCCTGGG